CCGATACCAGGGAGGTATCTTTAGACAAGCCATGATATCAAAATGTTGCTGTTGTTTGTTTTCCCATCCCATCTTTTTGCTGGTGGGATATGATATCCTGGGATTTGGGGTTATGGTTCCAAACCAACCAATAAGTTGGGATATGATCCCTACAACATCCGAAAACTACTGATATATATATAATCTACAATAATTCGTTTTGAGCACCCAGCGTCTGTATGTTGCCCCAGCACCGCCGGGTCCGCCACGGGCCAAGGCGCTCGTTCTTCTTGCGCGCCTGTGCCTGTGGTCCCTCGACCTTATAGGCGCCCATGGGCATCTTTCCACGGCGGAAGAAGATCGGGAAGTTGTCCCTGGCCGGTTGAGGAAAGGCCGGCGGGCCCAAGGAGTGTCCTTAAGGTTCGCTGGGAAATGGGGAGGTGCCTTGAGCTGAGATTTTAGATTTTGAAAATGTATAGCATCGCATGATAATATACTGTATACATATATATATATATATAGTGTATATATATATATATAGATTACTTAGTTTTGTCCCAAGTGCCATGAAACATCTCTAAATCGCAGGTGAAAACCATCTCCATCAACTCCAGGAGCCCCCAATGGCGCCTGCCGCAATTCAGTGGGTACTGCTCCCGAATTTCGATTGTGTCATCTGCCAGGAAGAACATGATGGTGAAGGGCCTCAAGATTTTGGCTTCCCCTTCGGGGATTCCAAGACTTGTGCTGGTGGATGACTATCTTATAGTTTCTTATAGTTTCTTAGCCCTCCCAGTTCACAAAAAGTGTGTGTTCACTGGTCGTTGATCATCCGATTTGAGGATGCAAAAGTGGAAAAGTCGGAAAAAAACCATCAACCAGTAGAAAAAAAAAAACTACCCTCTGGTAATTTAACGTAGCTATTGAAAATCACCATTTTTAATGGGAAAACTCACTATAAATGGCCATTTTCAATAGCTATTTTGACATAACCAGAGGGTACCAGTTGCTGATTTCTACTGCTAAATCCCTAGGCAACTACTAGCAGTCACTCAAATTGAGACGTCTGGGCAACTGGCCGACGTTCAAATTGAGGAGTGGTGACCTCAAACCCCCGCGACAAGGCATCAACAGCAGACAGGGCGACTTGGCATCAACAGCTCGGCCATGTTAATAGTTGGCCTATGACACCACTCCCAACAAGATAAAATTCAGGAAGATCCTGCCATAAAATAGTGGGCAAGCCCAGATAGAAAAGAAGAAATCCTGTCAAAATTCATTGGTAAATTCAAGCCCTTCCTACCTCTACTTTTTTGGGGCTAGCGTCCAGCGTGAGGCCCAGACATCATCCAGCACTGCATAGAAACGAAGCACCTGGCAGAGCTTCAGTAGCAACGGGCCCCCCTTCTGGCTCGAAATGGGGGTCGGCAATCAGGGAACAACGAATTCGGTGATGTTTATCTGTTTTGTTGATGCGTGTACATGTAATATCTATGTGTGTATATATATATATATACTCTATATATATATAACTATATATATATAACTATGTGTATATATATATATAACTATGTGTATATATATATATAACTATGTGTATATATATATATATATAACTATATATATAACTATATATAACTATATATATATACCTATATTAATATATCTATATAAATATAACTTTATATAACTATACATATAACTACATGTCTACATGTATAACTATGTATATAAATAAAACTATCTAAATACATATATATATAATTATAGATCTACATATATATATAATGTATTGAATTTTACACATGTACATATAATGTATTGAATTTTACACATGTACATATAATGTATTGAATTTTACACATGTACACATATACACATGTACGTGTTATACATACATCATATATATATACATGTCACTGTCCAATTTGTGGGGTCAGCATATGTTTCACCCCATGTTCCCTGCCTTCTTGTCCTTTTCCAAGAACTGCTGCATATCAGCATTGATGTGACCGCCACCGAGCATCACCTGGCGTTTCGGTTCTGACAAAATGATCGGTATGTCAATGCCAGACGTGACGTACAATCTAGTGGCAGTATGGTTTACAAACATAAATGCGTGTATGAGTGTATGTCATATATGTGTGTGTGTGTATGTATGGGGGTTTCCTAAATTGGGGGTACGAGTACCCCAAAATGGATGGTTTATAAAGGAAAATCCTACTAAAATGGATGATTTCGGGGTGCCCCTATTTTAGGATACCTCCATATGTATATATGTAAATGCAATCATAATTAACATTAGTTGATTACATATTACATATTGTATGATATTGTATGTACAATATCCGTATACAATATCCGTACATATATATATATATATATAATTATAATTATATATATATAATAGCCATTACTAGCCCACAATATCCCACAACTATGATAAGATCTTCAGCCCCTTCGAAAAAGCCCCCACACCTCGCGGTAGATCTTCTCATAGGTTCTAGGCTGCACAGGAGCATGGTTCTTCCTTGGCAAAGGCAAGCGCACCGGAACTTTACTTGGCGAAGCCTCAAGGTGGACTTGAGTACTACTTGAGTAGTCAAGAATTATCTGTTGTTATTCTGTTGTTCTGGTTCATGGTCCATTTTCTTGACGCACTTTACTTTTAGGTCAAACCAGGTCAGACCCAATGTTGTGAAAGTAACAATTATAAAACGTACATTTTCCGCACACAATGCAACGTTTTTTGCATGGCAAGGAAGAGTTGATACTTTCACACCCCCTGGGGAAGTACTGGTCATTGGGCATCACCAACCAGATAAAGTGACACACCTGATGTGTCCTTTGGGCACCAGTTCAACGTGTAGGGGCGTGTAACCCCCAACATTGCCATTTAGTGAAAAACAATGGGGCGATGCACCATCAGATTTCATCCATTTCCCCCATTTTCAGGTAATGATTCTTCCATGACATGTCCCATTCAAATTCCCATGGTTTTCCGCATGAAAAACCTGTGCCACGATTCATTGCATTACGTGTTTCTTGGAACGGATCCAGTTCTTCCGGTTCCGGAGGACCCTGGGGCATACCCAGCTGTTCGCAATACTCCCTGGCGCGTGGGGACATGGGGAACCAAGAAGATCCAAGGAGATCCATGGAGACTGGATCACATGGGGAAATCATTGGGATTCATCAACATTCTCAATGGATTGGTGAAAGGGAAAATCTACACCGGAAACCATGGGTTTTACATGTTTTTACCATCAAATATAGGGTGGTCCTGCGAATTTTACCATCCAATCCAATTCTATGACATTCGGAAATCCTGGGGATTTCAAGATTTCTCCATTTTTCCAAGAACAATCGACTTACCAAGCCATGTTCCACGGATTCCACGGTGTGTTACTTCCAAAATTGGACCATGTGTTTCGCACCATAGGGAACCCACATCCCACAGGCCCAAGATAAACCCAAGGCGAAAATGGCATCAAAAAACAGGTTTCCCTAAAGTGACAGTAGATTTCTGGGTAAAACCTATCTTTTGATGTGGAAAATTGAATCGTGGGATGATCCGATCCAAAATAGTTGAAAAGTTTGAAAAATAAATTTAAAAAAAAACTTCTTCGAGATGGTCCGCAATAAACATCTGGCAAAGTTGGCAGTCCTAAATTTTGGATATTTTTGGATGTAGTGCAGTCCCGTAAGTTTTTCCGCCTGGTGAAAGGGTCACAGTCAGTGACAAAGATGCTACGACCATAGATCTGAAGGGTCGAACCCACACGGATGTCCTGGAGGCTCCATTCACTGCAAGGCGTGCAAGTCAAATCCGACTGGCACATCCGGCATGATTTGCCTACTGAGTCAATGGGGATTTTAGATGATTTTAGATGATTTTAGTATATTTGAGTCACACTAGACTATCTTATCTCACCATTCAGCTGGCCGCAAGTTGTTCTCCTCAGACTTCAAGTAGCCACCATCAGCCGCCGGGAAGCGATGACGACGGATCAACTGACCTCCATAGAGATGAGTCTGTGGGTCAACTTGGAGGTTTACCCTCTGGTGAACTAACATAGCAATGGAAAATGGCCATTTATAGTGGATTTTCCGATGAAAAATGGTGATGTTCCATTGCTATGTTAGTTCACCAGAGGGTATCTCACGGAATGTGTGGCAACCAAAAAACCATCGAGAAGCAGGTGTTTCTTGCGTCTTCTTCCATCAAATCAGGATAAGAAAATCACCCAACAGCAGGGAAAACTTTCATTTCATCACAAAAAAAGGATATGAGCAACAAATAAAAAGCAACAACAATTTCGGAATCTTTGGGCCTTGTCATGCCCTTACCCAAGAATTTGCGTTTAGAGCCTTCATGAGCCTTCGAATCGTCATCATCTAACTGCGGGGCGTCTCAAAATCTCTCGGCAAGGGATGGATTACGGGGGATCAAAGGTGGCTAGGGATATCCCGCACACATATTCATGGAGGTTTCCCAAAATAAAGGTACCCCAAAATGGATGGTCATAATGGAAAATCTGGAAATTCCTATTAAAATGGATGATTTGGGGGGTACCTTTATTTTGGGAAACCACCATATCTATATATATTACACATAAATAGAGGATTTCCCATCCCAAGCCACGCTAGCACTGGGAATGGCGACCTTGTGGCATACCACTGTTGTCCTGCTTGGGCTCTTGAATCTGGCAAGTATCATCCTGGCGAAAAGGCTCAAGGACTTGAGATCACACCACCAGTTTTGAATGGTTTGACTTGATCAAACCTGTTAAACCTTGCTGTTTTAGCTCCAAAAGCTAGTCAACGGAGTCAAATGTGCCTAAAAATCCCAAAGAGGCAGTGACTCGATGATCTTGATGTCAGAGATTCTGAAGCTGTCCAAACTCAAGGTGCAGCTAGTCAACATCAGTCAACATCAGTCAACATCAGTCAACATCAGTCAACATCAGTCAACATCAGTCAACATCAGTCAACATCAGTCAACAGTCAACATCCAGATCCTCCAAATAGTAGTAGATGACCACCTTCCGCACACCTCGGCCATCCATGGCCATCCCCCAATGCGGTTCCCATCGCTTCCAACTCTTCGAAGCGCCGGAGAAAATTGCGGGTCAAGATGTCAAGATACCATGGGAAAAAAAAAAAAAAAAACATTTAAGGTGTGACAAAAAATGACCATCAAATATACCCAACCCAGCAATCTAACATAGCTATGCGGAATCATCATTATAATATGTTAAATAGGTATGTATAGTATCAATCATCTATAAATGGCCAGTTTCCACATCTATGTTCTATTCCACTCGCAAACTGGACCCTCCAGGTCTGTCTCGACGTCTCGACCGAGTGACGGAAATTCTCCAGGTTTGTCTCGACCACAGACTCCTGACCGTGACAAACCACTGATTGATTATATAAAAATGCGAATGTAATAAGTGAAAATTTAGTATGAATGGATATATAAATTGTATCACTATACAAACCACTAATCGAATCTAATAGATACTAATAGATACTAATAGTGATATCAATTGATATTATATAGATATTGGTTGTCTATTGATATTTCATCAACTGATTGGTTCATTGGTGGTGACAAACCATTCATACTCATTCACCTTTCAGGATGGCGAGTCTTTGTCGCTTAGTAATCCTGGGGCACGTCCGAGAACTGTCTGTGACGGACGAATTCATGGAATGCAACTCTTACCCTCTGGTAATTTAACATAGCTATGGAAAGATCCACCAGTTTTAATGGGAAAATCCACTATAAATGGCCATTTTCAATAGCTATGTTAAATTACCAGAGGCTACTTACAAACTCTTGATTTTTCATCCATGATTGATCATTGCTTGTAGAATCCCCATCTGGTAGAAACATGTAGAAACCATTAGAAAGCCATCCCTTCAGGATTCGGACCCAGTACCCGGCCTTGAAATAGCCCGTGAAGCGCAGGACATGTCGGTCAAAGGCATCCCATGCAGGAAGCTCTTGAAACTGGATGTCAGCACCAGCCTGAGATGCCACGGACTTGGGGGTCCCCACAAATGGTACCCTCTGGTTATGACTAACATAGCTATTGAAAATGGCCATTTATAGTTGATTTACCCATGAAACATGGTGATTTTCCATAGTTACGTTAGTTTACCAGAGGGTAGAATTGTAGAATATTGTAGAAATGATACTTCACCACTGGATGGAATTGTCTTGTCCTAGATTTTCACACAAACCCATTTGAATATTTGCGGATCCAAGACGCATTCTTGAACACTGCGCGCGTTTGGCTGTCTGGCAGGGAACCAGATCGCCAAACATCCTGCACTTTGCTCACCTGGCTCGAAGTCGAGTCTCCCACCCTGAGGTTGCATTATTTCTTCTGCCAAAACATCTTGGAATTTGCCACAAGCACCTGGCACATGGATCTGAATGAAAATTAGGTACCTTCAAAACTGAATGGTTGCCTCATCTTTAAAAAAAAAAACTAAGGAATAAAAAAGACTGGTTCGATAGGGGAGTCTTTAACTTTGAGCCACACCTCAGCTCCCCCGGCCCTGCCTTCACAAATTTGGGCTTGTCATGGGAAACCCCATCTTTCTGCTCGATTCTCACGCCGTTGACCAGGTTCCAAGAGTTTTGTCTTGGATAGTTATCTTTGTACCTGGGAAGATGAACAAAAATCATCGACTGTTTTTGGTGTCCGCTCTGGGAAGGGGCAATTTGATAAAGGCACTGATAAGTCACACAGATGCATAGAGGATCACCCTAATTGAAGGTGGAGCCTCCAGTCACACAGATCTGCTGAGCGACTCTGGAAAAGTATATCCAGGCAAGTTGGGCAACGACTTGAGATCTGCCGGTGACACTTGGGCCTCAAGAAACAGTCGCATCCCAAACATAGAGGTTTCTCTTAACCCTGACAGTGGAGCCGGAATCATCAACCAGTGACACGAATTGTGGAAGGGATTGCTCAGTTGCTGGTGGCATAGTGCCATATGCCCAATACATCCTGCTAGGCAAGCGGCCATGTTTGCGTCCACAAAGCACCCTTGCCGCTAACGGCCAGGAAATGCTAGTGCTGCGAGCCCAAGAACCAGGCGCATGGGCATTGGAGGCCCTATCATTATAGTGATATATATATATATACAGTATATATACAAGTTATGTATATATATATACACATATCATTACACATCCATGTGCACCAGCAAAAAAAACATATATACATACATGAGACAGAGACTCAGGTTTCTCTGAAAACATAGAGTCTCATCATGTTTCCCACATCGACATGTCAGGGCATGCCCCTTTTTTTTGGACCGCCACACGTTCTGTTTGTTGCTGCCGAGGCTGTGGGACTAGCTGTTGCCCCAACTACGGCTCGTCGGATTCTCCATTTGGCCTCAGGCGACAACTCGAGCCACGACCGAGCCACCAACCAACTGGATAGCCCAGGCATGCCACTTAAAAACCGACAGTTTGTAGCTATGTTTACATATGTTTACATCTGTTTACACATGTTTACTGCGATGTTCTTGTATTCTGGAGATTTTAAATGCAATGCAAAGTGGCGGAGCTAGCCCATTCGGGTTTGTCCGATGCGGGAGACCTCCATCCACTGATATATCATTTTTTCCCCGTCAAATTGGTAGAAATTGGGCATCAATTCCTCTTTTTTATAGCTGGAATTATGGTATATGGCTCAGAAAGCCATTGTATCACAATAGGGTTTAAAAAGTGTGTGTGTGTGCACATATTATACATATATACATATATACGCAGGATTATATTGAAATAATTATATAGTACATGTAATATAACATGTATAGATGTTTTTTAAATCACAATAATATTGGATTAGTATAATATATATACCCTCTGGTTATTTAACATAGTTGTTTAACATAGCCATGGAAAATCACCATGTTTAATAGGTAAACCGTAAACCATCTATAAATGGGTTATTTTCCATGGCTATGTTGGCCATAACCAAAGGGTACCCATGGTATCTCCATCATCCCAGCCCCACGGCCCGGGCGAAGGTGTGAAGGGAGCCAGCCCCGGCACCTTCGCGGGCGCCGAAGTGGATAGGAACCATGGCGATCCTGTATCCGCCAACTATGTAAATGTATATATATATAATTATATATATATTTATTATAATTATAATTACATATGCAATTTGAATGTAGTCAATTATGTGTAGTATGTATGTGATGTTTAACTATTAACCTGTTCGAATCTGGGTGGGCAGTGCAAAAACTAATCTTGTTCAACATTCATGATTGTTGTATGGAATCATGTCAAACATGTGGGTTTGAAAGTGTTGAGATTTGATCCCATCTCCTCCAGTAGAAAGACAGTGATTAAGACCATATGCCGCCCAAAAATGAATAGTTACGATGCTAAAACTCACCAAATCAATCAAGGTTGACAACTCCCTCGCATTTTGTTTCTGAAAAATGGGTCCCAAGTCGGGGATGGTCCTTCCAAAAAAAACACAAAATCCCATCCACAGAATCCCAGCACCTCCGCGGGTGAGCCCGGAGATCTTTCTCCATCCTCCAGATCCACCACCTCGACTTCCGCCTCCGCGGCCTCCGCGGCTTCCGCCGTGGGCTCCGGCTCGGCCGCCGGCTCGGCCGCGGTGACCGGAGGGATCACCGCTGCTGCGGCTGGCGCCTGGAGGAAAAATGGGTTGCTGATATAAAAAAGGCTCCAGTTTCTGGGTGTTCCACGGTGTTCCCCAAATAGGAGTTCAATGGATTTAAGTCATGAGTTTCTATTTATTCTAAGCGAGTTTCTGGGTCCTCAAATAGGATGTTTGCTGATATTTAAGCCATGAATTTCTATTTCTAAGCGTTCCCCAAAGATTTAAGATCACACAAGATTGGGCCACAACACACCAGGGCATGTTGGGTGAAATATCCTATTCAAACATCTCTCAGGGTGAGGATCATCTACAGCAACGTAACCAACCACTGGTTTTCCCCCTGACGAATGGCTTGGATGAACGAACTGAACTCGCTTCTGCCGGTGACTTGCCTGAGTCTCTTCTCGTGTGCTGCTAGCCCTGCTTGAAACCCGCAGGATGTCCTTGTTGCCTCAAAAAAAACAGACTTTTCGGAGATTCTGGCGATGATGGTTGTCGTCATCGACGTCGTGATCCTCCTCCTCCTCCTCCTCCTCCTGCTCCTGCTCCTCCTCCTCCTCCTCCTCGTCCTCCTCGTCCTCCTCCTCATCATTATCATCATCACCATCATCATCATCCTCATCCTGTATCTCGATTTTGAGTATGATCGTGATCTCGATGATATTTGTGACAGTTATTAGACCATCAAAATCGCATATCCCGTGATCCCGTGATCCCGTGATCCGATTAGGATTTTTCAACGTTGCCATGGTCGCCATGGTCGGCACTGACTGGGCTCAGTGACGCTTCTCCAACTCAGCCAGGGCGGTGGGAACTCGGAGATCTCGAGTGCTTCCTGATCCGGTGGGCAATGATGTGGTAAACCATGGTAAACCCCATAATGATCAATGGATATCAATGGATGAGTAATGGAATACAATGGATAATTGATGGAAAACTATTCGAATAATCATGAATAATCCGGTCAACTAAAAAATACTACACCCCAGTTAGGGATGGTTTCTACCACCCATGTCTGATAAAATAGGGGCTGATTTACTCATCGGCTGTGTGTGGTTAAGTCTGCAAGCTCAAAGGTTGGGTTCCAATTGACCGCCCTGATGCCCTGTAGGTGTATATTGCTTGATAAGGCCCAGCCAAGTGAAGATCTGCAAAGTCCTGGACAAAGTAAGTTGGTATTAACCAGTATGGACCACGATAACCAACTTAATGGGTTATATAATAATACCAACTAGAATAACTTATTAGTAGATTATTGACCACTATATTCCCATGAATTCCTATGAAATCTATTAACCCTTCACCGTTGGTAGCCCATTGGAAGTTTCCCTCGCCGCCCAAAAAACGGCTCCTCTTCCTCGCAGCCGAGGCGGTGGCAACTGCATCTGTCGATCCAAGAGAGGTCTGACCTTCAACGAATTCGGATCCCGAGAAGTTTGATCAAGCCATCAGTGGCCATCAGCTTTTCTGGTGGCTGGATAGATAAATCGGTAGATAAATCGATAGATAAATCCCAAATTTAGACTCAGCCTTGGGGATGAAATTTATGATGACCAAATAAGGAATTTATGACTGGAAATGTATCACCTTTTCATAACCATAAATTTGGAATCATGAAATTCATGGTTCTCAAAATATTCACTATCATTTATGGGCCTTGGCCCTTTTCGGTCGCTGATATCCCATGCTGTGCAACGTCTCTAGCTTGGGCTCGGTCTCTACTACTTAGATTGCCTGAGGACGTGTGGTATCACAGCAGATGCAATACCAAGTATATCACAAATCCAATATAATATAATCATGTATCACGCACAACGTATCATAGTTCACATCCACATGCAAAACAAAATCATCACATTCCTAGGTTTACTAGTCACATCCAAATCTCTAAAATGGGGCATGCGGTCCAAAACTGCTACTGAAGAGTCAAAAACAATACCCTCTTCATCCTTTGGAAGTGGACACAGCCACATCTTTAGACACAGCCAAGGTCATGCCCCAAACTTAAGTAAATTAGCTCAGTTGGCATTGCCAATTCACTAGGGGTTATGATAATATATACATATATAGCATATATTATTATACATATAATGCAGTAAACAGTATATTTATATAATGGATGTTAATGGTGGTTATAACATGTTATGAACCAACTTGTAACTTGGGGAGCACCACCTTGGCTCCGCACGCGCTCCACTTCTTCGCGTCTCAGAGCTCCGCTCGAGAGGACCTGAGGACATGGCTGGAAACTCCCACCATTTATACCCTCTGTTTATGTCAACATAGCTATTGAAAATGACCATTGAAATAATGGATTTTCCCATTAAAAGCATGGTGATTTTCCATAGCTATGTTAAATTACCAGAGGGTTGTTGAATTTTCTATTCAAAGCATTTTTCAAAGCTCCATTCATAGATGATTTTCCCATTACCTTTCCAGTGGCACGAGGATTCCTAGGTTTGGTTTAAAATGCGGAAAATCCCCATGTTTGAATGGTAAAAGCCATAGGTTTCTTGTAAATCTTCCCTTGAAGCCATCAGCCCCACTTGGCTCAAAGTTTTTCAGAAAATCCCCGTCGGTCAAATGCTGATAGCTGATTTATGTTGATTTATGAAATTGCTTTCTGCTTCAATCACCATGTTTATTGATTCATTAAGTTACCCTCTGGTACACTAACATTGCTATTGAAAATGGCCATTTATAGTTGATTTACCCATGAAACATGGTGATTTTCCATGGTTTTTTGTATGTTTACCAGAGGGTAGTCAATCAAGCCCGTTGAGTTCCCCATTTCTTCATGGTCAAATCTCTTGGTGATCCAATCCCCTCCAGAACTGGGCTCTGCACCACATCCAGTGCAGCCTTGAAGCGATCCTGGGATCGACAAATCATCCTTGGAAACCATCATGGGAGAAAATATAAACCACATATAAACCACCATAGAATCTGGATCAATTGTCATAATTTAAAAAAATGATTCACATGAAATATTCATATAATTCACCTGAAAAGTTCGGCCACCAATCTTCCGTTCCTCCAGCCCAGTCCCATGCAAAGTTCGGCCATGTTGGGATAATTACCTTAATCCTTAACCATCATGTCTAGTGACGTCGGCCAGTCACATCATTGTAATTTACCCAGATAAATGAAAAAACACTTCCGAATAAGTATGAAGATATGAAAAACTGGAAAAAATAAAGAAAAACTGGAAGATATGAAAATAAATGTGTTCCTGGAACAGCAAAAAAATGATGTTAGAAAATCCTTAAGTCGCCGATCTGGGATCACAGGCGTCGCCCACTTCATCGTCACAGGCAGATCCTGAGATGTGAATGGCCAGTGGGACGTGGAGAAACGGCTTGGAGACATCTTCACCAAGAAACATGGAGGGCTTAGCGGCTTTGCCCTCTGGTAAACGAATAGAGCTATGGAAAATCACAATCTTTAAGCTTGGTTTATCAATTTGTCACTTTCAATAGCTATGTTAAATTACCAGAGGGTAACTGTCTATTATAAATTATAAATGTTCCTATCCTTTCTTGTCCTTCAAAAACTGGCAGATGGTCCAAAGCTGGAGGGAGCTTCAAGACTAAAAAATGACTCAGCAGCTGACTCCAGCGGTCAAGCACCTTGCAGAGATGCAGATGGTTCAACACAAATAGCCATAAAACCGGCCAACATCGGAATGCACCACATGCCAAAGCTTGAGTCTCCAAGTTGGACCAAGTTACTGAAAAAAAGTCATTCAGCTAGTTATGTCCCCATGGCTGGGTCTCCATTTATGATCATGGCTGGGTAAACCAGGACTCAGCCCAGAAATACACCGGCAGCTTTTCATCTCCACCTGAAGCACCAAGTCGTAGAGTTGGCATTCACTGGCCTGGCGCCCAGCTTCCCGTCGTTTCAATTCTGTTTCATCATGGATCTTTTGTGAAGATAAACATCCATAAACCCTCCACGAAAAAAAAACTCATGGCATAATGGGGTAAACCCCATCCCCCAAAATAATCGGTGGATTCTTGGATATGACTCACCATAATTGGAACATGAACCATCCATCGTTCATTTTTTTCGCTTTATGGGTGAATCCCAGAGATCACAGATGACCATCGCCAGTGGTGATGACCACATAGTGAGGCATAGTGATGGCTGCATGGCGAGAAAAACACAACGAAAAACGGCTGGCATGATACGAGTATCATCCCAACCGAAAAACATCGACTGTAATATATGGGGTGTGTCTGAAATTGAGGTAATACCAAAATGGCTAGCCATTGATTGGGAGAATGATTACCAACCAGTGGATGGAACGGGGTACTCTATTTTCAGACAAATCCGTATGAACATGGGATGGTTTCTGACCCATAACCCTGCTGATTTGTAAATGCCCAGTTTGAGCTGATTGAAAGCCTTTCTTTCCTCGTTAAATCCGGAAACAAAGGTGAAGATCCCATTGTTTGGTGATTCACCCATTTTTGAAGTTTTTGTTGTGGACTCTGATTCAACAATATGACTAAAATATCGAACTATTCAACCATTCTCCCGTAATAATTCAGCGTACTGGCATGGCCGGTTCAAAGCGGCCTGCGCCGATAGGCCGATAAGCCGGGAGTCCAAGGACCCCACCTTCGGGTTATCGGGTGGACTCTTGGCTTATCGGTTTATCGGGTGAAGCGCGAAATCCGATTCGGCGTTGCCAGTTCAGTGTAATAATTAATTATCACATCCTTTTTGAAGCTGAAGGGGGAGAAAAACAGATGGCTCCACCTTCAGCTTCTTTGGCTTTTTCGGCGCTTTGTCCTCTCGTGAAGCGCGTGGTGCCTGCCGGGAACCAGGGAAGCGCTTGGGTGTCGTTCTGGGGTAGATCCCAACTATAACTACAGCATATGTAAATTTATAACATTCCATAACATACCATAACTACAAAACATGTTGGTTCGCTTTTAGACTTGGTTTTGTTGCTTCATTTTAAAATGCTACTTGGCTTGCATTTCCAAGTGCCTTGATGGGTAAGCGGACAAACATTCCTCAAAGTTGCCTGCTTTCGCCACACACCGATGCTTGTCTAATCCAATGCTTTAATGATCTTTAATGTGCAATGGGATTAGCCTTGTTGTGACTTGATGATGTAACTTATGTAACCATTAGTATATAAATAGTATATACATATATATATATTGAAATCTACATAGATTGCTGTGTGTTTTGGAGTGCGCCCCATGACGTTTTTCAGAGCCTCCGCTAAAATTGCAGGTCTAAGTCTAATTTCTCAATGTGACAACCCCAATAGTAAAGCATCCCCTGCCCAGTTCTATCAGGTGTATTGAAGAAACTAGGCCAAAGGAAGGGTGACTATGAATCGGGATCATATACCTCAATCGTACTTGCAATACCATCTGGCTATGGCTCAAAATTGGATGAGGCATGCCCACTGATGCCGGGTCAGTAAACGCCAACATTAATGTGGGAAACCCAATCACCTGAACCATCGCGATAACCAACGATTCGTGTCATATCAAGCACCATCCCAGTTATAGGGGTACGTGCACAGCCAACTTCGGTGAACCAATCCCAATAACTAATACCAAATTTCATAAACCCTATCTGAATGTTCATTCTTGCTGAGGTTTACCCAAGGATCAACCCCAATACCCCCATTCCTGGCATTTAAAAAAAATGCAGCATCAAGAGCTTCGAGCCACAATCTTTCATGCTATCAATCCGGTTTCTCCGAAAATATGGGCGACTCTTGGTCCCCCATGGCCATGTCAAGAGGAACAATTTGGGATCGTCATGTTAAGACTTTCCCATGTTCAGAGGAAAACTTGGGGATCACTCTTGATCCCCAAGAGTTGCCATGTTAAAAGGCACCAGGCATAGGCCTAGCCTTGGCCTAGCCTTTCTGAGGCGAAATCTCGCTGAGGCCACCCAGAAGAGCCCCAGCCAGCCTCGGTGAAATGCCTCTTGCGACTGCGCCTGCTTCGGCTACGCCGCCGGCTGCGGCTGCGGCGCCGGGGCGAGACGACGCGCGGTGCGCGGCGGGGGCTACGGCCTGCATCCTGCGGGGTCTGTCCCGAAAAAGATGGGATTTACCTCCAAGAAATAGGAAATTGAGGTATTTTGAATGGGTAAAATAAAAATGTCCAACCAGATGGCGTAACCAACCAACAAAAATTGGGGATTTTACCAGCAAGAATGGAGGAGGTCACCAAGAAATGGAACTTTGAAGACTTGGCAGACATGGAAAAAAACCGGAGATGCTATATAATCAGTAATTAGGTTGTTTCTCTAACCAGAAAATAGAAAGACAACCGCTCCACGGGTTAGCCAAAATCCTACGGAGTGTGACCAACATGATTGAAAGCTTTAGCCAGCACTTGTGTAGATATATATATATAATTATAATTATGTGTATATATATATGAATATGATTGTATATGTATACATGAGATACAAACTAATCATAAGGAGAACCGAACCTGGTGAGTCTAGAGAAATGAGATCATGATAAGAACTGACAAAAAGCGCAGTGCTGTCCACTCGACCGGCTGGAACAGGTTCAGGATGACGCTTGGCTTCCTTGGCCTCGGGCTGATGACCAGACGTGAAACCTCAACTGTTGATGAAACCACCAAGTGGAATATCATCATATCATTGAATTTCAATAATACACATACATGCACCATTATATATCCATCATATATATATATCTCAATGAATCCCAGAAAAATGGAAATGAAACCAACAATTGAGGTCCTGCAAAGGACCAGAGCCCCTCAGCGAGTGGCTTGAGGGCTTTGATCAAGCTCATTGACCCACTTGCTGTCCCAGCAACTGCAGCGCTTCTCAGTCCTTTTTTCCCGCGATCGCTCCACTTCCACGCAGCCAATCCCGTAATCGCCCGCGCTGCATGTTTCCGAGCGCATGCCGAGAAATCTCAACCCCCAGCAGAGCTCCCCATCGCCACGCCCCAGGTCTCAAAAAACATTGAGAAAAAAAACAGAGCCGCCAAATTCATCAAACATCGTCATTTGTGGAAAAAAAAAACACATGAAGACCATCGACACAAATCGTTATTGGAAGAATCACCAGATGGATCCCAGTGGTATACTGACTGCTGGCCATCATTAATTCACACGTCATCTTCACCGTCTCGCGTCTTAAGGCCAGTGGCTCAAACTCTGCAGTCACCCACGATCTGCTTCCCCTAGATCTCCCCAAGGGCATGGCACCAGGAATCACAAGAAGATCTGCCATCATCTGCCATCTAGCTGACCCACTATGATTCGCATGTGGATTTACCTACAAAGGGTGTGTCAAAAAGTGGCATAGAGCCCAAAATCGACTGTTTCATCATCATTTTCACCAATTCTCCAGTTGCAGTTTTGAGGTTTGTCTATTTCCAGACACCCACTGTTGCCACCGAGGTGGTACCTGGAATTCTCACACTGAAAATGCCATGCCCTCTGCGCTACGCATCTGCCTCTGCTGTCCTACAACCCTGCAGCAGAGGTGGCGCTGTGCGGCAAATTTCGAACTGCACAGACTTCCAGTGATCCTCACTGATCCTCAAACAATTGCAGGTGGTTTGTCATGAAAGACTCATGAAAGACTTTTTTATAGACATGAGGATTTCAAGTGCTGATCAATAACTACCCAAGTCCAAACAAATCAAACAATTATGTGTACAAATTTATATAGAATCGTGTCTTTACATGGTTCACCTTCATTCATATATCAGATACACATACAGACCGCCAAACCACACTCCGGCCCCTAGAGACCACGAATGACCAGCCCATTTTTAGGCTGAAGCCATCGAGCATTTGAGCCACCGAAATCGGTGAAATTGGCCCTGAAACCATAGTTCAATAGAGAAAATGATGATGCACCATTGGATTTGGTGTGTTTGTTCCCAACATTTTCAGTGAAACCCAGTTGCAACATGTCTTTGCCAACGGTTTTGGAAGCTACA